GCGGCAACAAGACCGGCTTGTGAAGGCGATTTGCACTGACCGTGGGGGAGAGTTCCTGAGCAAGGACTTCTCAACTTGGCTGAAGAAACAGGGCATAAGGCACTCTCTCACCATGCCCTACTCTCCTGCAATGAACGCATTGCCGAGCGTGCGAATCGGACACTCACGGAGACGGCTCGGGACTTCTCTTGAAGCCGGTCTACCTAATTACTTTTGGCCGGATGCGGTGCGCATGCTTGTGTGGCCAAGAACAGAGCCTTGAATCACGTGGGAGAAGACAAATGGGTGCCCTATGTGGAGTGGATTGGAAGGAAGCCGAAGGTGGATATGCTTCGGGTGTTCGGGTGCATGTGCATGGCACTTGTGCCTAAGAAACTTCGGCACAACAAGCTTGATGCTAAGGCAACATGGGCCGTGCACCTGGGCATGGCTCAAAACAGCAAGGGATGGCTTCTTGGGACCCATTTACCAAGAAGTTCCTGGTGAGCAGAGATTGCAGTTCATGGAGAACTTACCGTACAAGGAGTGGAAGGCGGAGAACCAAGCGAAGATTGGTGTGCGGCTTGGAGAGGTGAAGAGTACCGGCTTGGAGCATGTGGAGCTGCCCTTGGAGCTCAGTAGCAGCAGCACTATCACAAGGCAATCTCCTCAAATGAATGGGGGAGAAGAGGAGGAGGAGGTGCAGCAAGGTGATGAGCGTGCGAGGGGGAGCAGAGGAGCTTCATGGTGGTTTATGTGGAACACATCCTCATATTCTCACCCTCCTCTGACCTTGTGAAGGAGGTGATGCTGAAGCTTCAAGACAAGTTCAAGTGCAAGACCCTTGGTGACGTCACTACTACCTTGGGCTTCACATTGAGCGAGATGTGGAAAAAGCGGTTGATGCGAGTGCATCAAAAGAAGTACTTGGAGGCCTTGGCTGCAAACTTTGGGAGAGTGAAGGTCATGTGGCTACTCCTCTTCCCTCAGGTTCAAGTGTGTGAAAGGACCAGCGGAGGAAAGTGTTGGTGAAGAGGAGAGGCGGCGTTTTCACTCCTTGGTGGGCAGCCTCATGTATGCGGCCGTTCACACAAGGCCGGATGCAGCCTTGCTACCGGGCAGCTGGCTAGGGTTGTCCAATGCCCTAATGAAGAGCAGGTAGCAGCTGGAGAGAGGGTGGCCAAGTACCTTGGCCAAACAGCAACTGTTGGACTGCAATACTCCGCCGCGGCACAAAGGCGTCAAAAGGGTGCGGATGGAGTCGAACCCGGGAGGCTCTTTCTCACGGCCTTCTCTGTGCATCTTGGGCATCAGAACCAGAGGACATGACAAGTGTGGGAGGCTTCATCTGCTGTATTGGTGGAGGACCAACAGCTTGGGAGAGCAAGAAACAAGTGGACCAAGCATTGAGCTCGGTGGAGTCCGAGTACATGGCACTCTTCCGTGCATAAGAGAGGTTGTGTGGCAGCGGCGTTTGCTAGCTGAATTGGGGGAGGAGCAGCAAGGACCTACCCCACTCTATTGTGATAGCCAAGGTGCTATTGCATTGGCAAAGATCCCCGTTCTTCATGGTCTTACCAAGCACATGAAGGTAAGTGGCATTGGGTGAGGAGCATGGTAACCGCGGGTGAAGTGGAGTTGCACTACGTGAAGACGACAGCGCAGCCAGCTGATATGATGACCAGAGGCTGGTTGAGCAGCAGCAGTGGAAGTGTGCAAGCTTGCTGGGATGGCTCTGAACTAAGGGGAGCAGATTCTAAGGCCAACAATCCGAGGGGGAGTTTGTTGGTGCAACCCTAAGGCTTGCACGCGGCTTGTCGTCTTGCTTGTGTGTGTGCATGCATGGCATGGAATGAATTGTGAGTCTATGTCATTCCTATCTAATGCTCATGTGTGTGTTTGAATGGTGTATCACAATGTTGTTGTGTCGGTCAAGACATTAGCGAGTTTTTACAACTCGCTGTCAAGTCGTCGTTTGTGTGTCGCATGTGTTTTTTCTATTTTGTCGGGTGTGAAGTGTCCATCGCGTCGCACGTGTGTGCAGCAAGCCCCCATAAACTCAAGAAGAATTTATCTTGCAGATCCAAGACCAAGAGCTCAAGATTCAAGCCCAAGGGACGCGGATTAATATTAAATAATGAAAATAGTAACGCTACTTCGTGTAGTGTTACATTTTGCTTGGTGTAGCCCCTTGGAGGGTTGCTTTCAAGACTCTTCATGGTTGGGGACTCTATGGTGGTGTACCACCAAGCTGGACCTCGGCTCCTGGGGTATGTAGAGGCTGGGAACCATCTCCCTCTCGAATTCTTCTTGCTAAGTTTGTAGTTCCAAAACTATAGTGGCTGCTATACCTCTTGCCAGTCAAACTGCCATAGCGTCGTCAAATCTTCATGGAATTTCATGATTCAACTTGCTGCTGATAGGCGACAGCAACGCGCTCCAGATCGAACTTACAGATCACCGTTTGAGTCAGCCAGCAGATCGTTATCAATATTTGAAGCCGTCTGACGGAAATCCGACTGTGCTCTCTGTCTCTCATTATAGGCACACCTGAGCCTATTGTGACTATAACAGTTTTGCACTGTGGAACGAGTAACCATGTCAACCGAGGTTAGGGGTAAAAAATTAGGGCTTGCTTTTTTAGAGTTTTAAGATCCTCGCTTTATGTTTGCCACACAAATATCGTCCAAAATTCTTTGGACGCTTCCGTATTATTCTGATGGTGACACCGATCACCACACAATTACTGTTGCAGGGCGACTAGCGTCTCCACGGTTCTTTCCACGTCAGCCTTCTTCGACAGTTTGTCGTAAACACGCCTGATATCGACTGTCGACGAATTTATCCGTTGATAAAACCATTTCCTGAGCCAACTACCGGAACTCAACAGATTCTCTCCCACACAATCCGCCGCGACCACGGTCAACGGGTTTTGGAGTTTCTGGTTCGCTGGGTTGACCGAAAGTGCGACACGACATGTGGTTCCCATTAGTTACTCTTGACAACCATCCTATGGTGCATGTTTATTTATAAGACTGGTCTACTCTAGATGTGGGCTGTCTTGCCTAGGAGGGGGAAGGTATAAGAAAAATCCATTTCCTTAGCGAACCCTCGCTATTACCGCATACTTCCTAGAACCTCGGAAGTCTAGGCTCGGCCCAACAACCCAGATCCCGAACTGAAGCAATTCAATATAGTCCGTAGGATCTTCAGGATTGAACTGCAGTAGTGCGCTTTGCGAAAACGATTGATTGGTTGATGAACTATGTCAGAGTGAATGTAACTTAATAGTGTTGATTATAGAAATGGGATACAGGGCTCATATAGTGATACAGGGGAATGCGAAGGGTCTAACTAAGATGCACTTAACAGGGCTACATTCCCTTTGAGGTTCCACATCCGACTTGGGTAGCTGTACAGGGCTTGAGTAACTGCCTGTGGTGTATTATACAGTCAGTTATGTGTTCTTACTGTTGTGACTACTATCGGTCAACGGTCAATGACCGTTGCACTTCGTGATTCGCGTCATAAGCTTCGATTCGACAAAGGTTACAACTCGAGTGTCACTTTCAGGAATGCGAGCAATTCCTTGTCGTAACAAGTCCGATCTACCGCAGATGTGGGTAGTCTCGCCTAGGAGGAGGGAAGGTATAAGGAAATTCCATTTCCTTAGCAAACCCTCGCTAACATCGCATACTTCCCAGAACCTCGGAAGCAGGCCTCCAGAAGTCAGGAAAATTTTCCTGGTTCAGGAAAAAAACAGGGTGTTGAGGGGTACCAGGTCTGATTTGCCAGGGCTTTGTTTTTGGCATTTCCTGAAATTTCAGGGTTTTTTTGTAAGGGATATCTGTCAGCTCAGTTTTTTTTGTAATGGATCCTGAAATTTCAAACTTGTATCGAGCATGGGTTCTGAGCGGGTCTTAGTCCTTTCCAAAAGCGTGTCTTGGGGGGCAGTCAAGAATTTCAAGGTTCTCCCCCACCCCCCCCCCTTCCCCACCCCCCGAGGCTGTGTGAGGGCGGTGATTGGCCCTTGGTAAAAAAAATCTCCGCGCTGTATGTTGGAGGTCGTGTGACTCGTGTCGTGTGAGGGAGGTCATCGCATCGACCCTTAGCAATGTATTCGTCTCGATGTGTGCTGAGGGCTGTGAGGGCAATTGCTGGCCCTTGGCCAAATTTGTTTGATGTGTGCCTGCCCTGGGGCTCTGCGAGGGAAGAGATTCCCTCCGCCCCTGCAATATCGTCGCCTCCCCCCCTACTAAGCCCCTCCTCCCTCTCCCCCCCACCAATTGTCGTTTCCTGCCCATCCCCCAATCTCACCCCACACGCGCGAATTCGCTACGAATTCCCAGCACCCCCAACAACCAAGACTTGAACACATAATTCATGAACTAAAACATGTATAGAAAGAGAGAAATCATGATTTTTTTTTTGAAGTAATTCGGATGGCTCAGGATTTTTTTTTTTAAGGGGACCCTGAAAATTCAGACTTTTTATGCAGGGAGAATCCTGATGGATCAGGAAGCCTCAAAACCAATCTAGGGCCCTACTCGGAAGTCTAGGCTCGGCCCGACAACCCAGGTCTCGAACTGCGTTTGAGGCACCTTGGTTTTGAGGCTTCCTGATCCATCGGAAGCCTACACGTGGAGTCGCATCCGACACTTCTGAGCCCCAAGGTGCCCAAACCACCTCGCGTGTGTTTCGTGGCCCTCCTCCAGGTTCCCTTGATAGGCTAGCTGTGCTTGTATTTAGCTCTTCGCCTCATTTGTATTCGACACACTTGAATAAACCTCTCTATTCCATTACTGGACTCCCATCCGGAGATAATCATAACACATGCGCTGCAACTACAGTAAATTAATTACTTAAGAAGTACTCAATTATAACGAGCATCCTTCAAAAGAGTGAATGTAGAGAAATATAGCATCTACTATGTGAATAATCGATGGTCTATGAGAACCGTTCCCACAGTGTGCTCTTATCGCATACTGCTGCAACCTTCTTGAGTGCGTGCAATGGCATTGTGCACATACGAGGCTTTCCGGTGTACAGCAAGATGCCCATTTCCGCCAAGTTTGTGTCAGCACCTTTCGCCCTGAGGCCTGAAGAACGACGTGGACTGGAAAGAGTGGTGAGTCTTTCTTCTTCCGCAATTCTCGCCTGCGAACGGACGACTTCTGGCTGCGCGATCCGACCTACGCCCTTCCTTGCGGCGCCATGCATTCCCGCTAAGTCAGCTCTGCGAAGGGCCTCTGCAATCCCATACCTCTGGCGTGAGAAATCGCGGAGCTCACTTCCTGGCTTGTTTGGGGTTGTTTTTTTTCTCCTTCCAGATCTCACAAATCACTTCTTGGCATGTTTGCGCGCAGAGCAGCCACCACAGCAGCCGGCAGAGTCCCGCGCTTCTCGCCGGGACGTCCGCGGGCGTTGCGCTTTGTGGCGGAAACATCAGGCGCGCGGGGGACACGTGGCAGCAGTCTGCTGCGCTCCGCGCAGATGCGCGAATGCCTGCCGCGTGGCCGGAGCTGATTCGTCGTCTGGTAACCGCAGTGGCGGTTCCGTTACAGCTGATGGTTACCGCACTGGCGCCGTCGCTGCACACGCTGTGCAAGCAGGAGACGGGCCGTGCACGGAGGTCGGATGTGACATTATCGAACGGATTGCAGAGCTGATTCGGCGCACGCATTCCCCTGAGCGTGCCACGGGCCAGCAGGTGAAGGAGGCCGAACCGAGGCAGTGGGGGGAACGATGTGGCGAGTGGGGCACAGCGGTACAAGGGGAGGGGGAGCAGAGGGGCGAGAGCAGCGGGGGGAGCAAGCGCCCCAGCACATGCGATGAGAGGGGAGGAGCCATTGCGGGTGTTGCAGCCGCTGCTGGCTCTGGACGCAGGGCGGTGGGTGAAGCTCATCTGCGGGGCCAGCTTCGAGGTGAGCGCCGCGGGTGAGGAGAACCGCGTGGGAGGAATGCCATGCGTCGCATGGGTGTGGTGAGAGGGTGTGGTGAGAGGGTGTGGTGAGAGGGTGTGGTGAGAGGGTGTGGTGAGAGGGTGTGATGGGGGGTGGGTGTGGTGAGCGGCCAGGCTCTAGGACGCCACGGTCTCGGCATGCCTCCCTTGCATGGACGTTCTCGTGCGTTCACGCCAGCATGCGTGCATGCATGCCGCCAATTCCTTACGCGTGCTCCTCTGCTGTTTCTTCCCTTGGTTCCTGTGCTGCAGTCTCTCCTCCCCATGCTGCCCTGTCTTTCCTTCGCCCCGTGTCATCCCCCATGCCCCCACCAGGACGTGGCGGATGTGCGCAACCTTGCCTTCGTCTACACGCTCGCAGGAGGTACGGTGGAATGCATGCAGGAGGTATGGTTCAAGGCAGGAGGTACGGTGGCAGGAGATATGGTGACAGGAGGTACGGTGACAGGAGAGACGGTGACAGGAGGTATGGTGACAGGAGGTACGGTGACAGGAGGTACGGTGACAGGAGGTACGGTAACAGGAGGTACAGTGACAGGAGGTACGGTGACAGGAGGTACGGTGACAGGAGGTACGGTGACAGGAGATACGGTGACAGGAGGTATGGTGACAGGAGGTACGGTGACAGGAGAGGTAAGGTGACAGGAGGTAAGGTGACAGGAGGTAAGGTGACAGGAGGTAAGGTGACAGGAGGTAAGGTGACAGGAGGTAAGGTGACAGGAGTTTGTGCATGTGAGATAGGTGTAGAGGTGGCAGGCGAACGGCGTTGAGAGGTGGATACACGGTGAAGTGGTGCGGTGGTGAGAACTGTGTGTGGCACAAGTGTAGTCTGCAGTTGAGAGACAGCGTAAGGTGCAAGTGTCTCAGAGTCTTATATGTTGTATCATAGGGTGGAACGCTAGTGTGGATGATGCACGAGACATGAGATGGAGGAATGCTGGAAGTGCGAAAGTAAAGGCGCGTGTGAACAATGGCAGTGACACCAGTGGCGGCATCAGTAGCGGAGGGAGGGTAAGAACATTTCCGGGGCCTCAAAGTCGTGCCATCACGGTATCACCTGCTGCTGCGCGTCCTCCTTTTCTCCACCCACTGGACTGCATCGACTGTGCATGCAGGGAACCAGCCAATTGTGGTCTTTTATTTTCTTTCTCTTTTTTTTTCCCATCAATCTTTTTGCATCCGTTCTGCCCTTCCCCTTCATGTCCCCCCCCCAGTGGACTGCATAGACTGTGCGGCAGAGCCAGCAGTGGTGGCAGCAGCAGCGGAGGGGATAGATGCAGCCATGGCGTGGGCGGCAGGGGAGGGGAGGGGCGGCGGTGAATGGGGGAGATGGGAAGGCGGCCGTGGGTGATGGTCAGTGTGAGCGATGGGCGGGACCCACACTTCAGGAAAGCAGGTCAGTGCCGCGCGCATCTGACATGACGTGAAGCCGAGTCAATCATGAGGGCTTTTGCTGCTGGAGTGACCATTGTGCACAGGAGCTGTGACACGCGCATGTCACTGGGCGTTGTTGTAACAATCTCACGTGGTAACATGACCTCCTGTCTTTCCCTCTCCATCCTCTTTGCCCATGGTTACACTCCCTTCCATCGCCGCTTGCCCATGGCTTTCCCTCTCCATCCTCCTTGCCCATGGCTTGACATCTCTCTCCACCCTTTTCCATTCCTCTTTTCACCCCCTATCTGCTCCCTCTCCACTCCTCTCTCCGCCCCTCCCCCCCCACCTGTCCCCATCACCCCAGTCTTTGACGCGTCTCTCTGTCCGCCTGCCTGCCCTCCCCTGTGAGCGAGTCTGCCCCGCCGCTGCCATCCGCTTCCATGCTGCTGCTGCCACCAGCGATGCTGCAACAAGCACGGGTAGCAGTGCAGACAGTGTGGGCGGCGTGATTGCGGATCGCTGCTATGGGTGTGGGCGGTGCATCCCTGTGTGCCCCTTTGGCATCATCTGTACGTGGGACCCGCGCTGCATCATTTGTCTCCTCTGTGTGCGGTGCACAATGTCGGGCCACTTCGCACTTTGGGGCACGACAATAGCACATGCTACCACGGTGGCGTTTGAGCCGACTCAAAAGTCAGCACAAGCTACTGCAGTGGCGGCCATGCTTTCTTGATATCTGCCTTGCCATCCAACCATCCTTGCATGTCCCCATCCAACCATCCTTGCATGTCCCCATCCAACCATCCTTGCATGTCCCCATCCAACCATCCTTGCATGTCCCCATCCAACCATCCTTGCATGTCCCCATCCAACCATCCTTGCATGTCCCCATCCAACCATCCTTGCATGTCCCCAACCAACCATCCTTGCATGTCCCCATCCAACCATCCTTGCATGTCCCCATCCAACCATCCCTGCATGTCCCCATCCAACCATCCTTGCATGTCCCCAACCAACCATCCTTGCATGTCCCCATCCAACCATCCTTGCATGTCCCCATCCAACCATCCCGGCATGTCCCCATCCAACCATCCTTGCATGTCCCCAACCAACCATCCTTGCATGTCCCCATCCAATCATCCCTGCATGTCCCCAACCAACCCCCCCTCTTATCTCAGGCTCCATCTTTGTCTCTGGCTGTCGTTGTCCATCTCTGTGCCACCAGCGGCAGAGGAGCACCAGCGAACACACGAAGACACGCTGACGCTCTTGGGCGGCGGGCTTGTGGATGCTATAGAGATTCACACTCTGCCAGGGTGAGTTGGCCCTAGTACTCCTTCGGGCCACTCCTTCCCTCTCTTTCTACACTGTACGGTTTCCTGATAGCCCTTTCCTGATAGCCCTTTTCTCAATGGTCCTTCAGTGAAGCACATCGCATCCGTTTCACAGCGCTGTGCGATTTATCCCTGCTGGAATCGCTCGTATTCGATCTCCTTCGATGGTTTTCCATCGTCTTGCAAGCCAGCTTCGCACCTCTCACAACCTTCTTGCGTTCCCTCCAATCTCACGCAGGCACGTGGAAGCGTTCAATGCCTTGTGGGCCTCGATTGGTGAAGCAGCCGGCTCGCTGAAGCTAGTAGCTGTGAGTGACCGCTACCACATCAATGTGCTTCCCCGCATGTGTGCGCCAGCGTTTATCAGGCATCTCTCCTTCGTTTATCAGGCATCTCTCCTTCGTTTATCAGGCATCTCTCCTTCGTTTATCAGGCATCGTGCGTTTTCCTCGTGTCCTTCCCCATCCCCCTTGCCGCTTCCCCCTGCCTCTGCTGCTCTCTCCCGTGTACCTACCTCTATCACTCCCTGCCTCCCTCCCTCCGTTTCTGCCTACTTGTCCCCTCTCCCATGCTCGAAGGTTAGTCTGCCTGACGTAGGGGACACCATGCATCCTGCCGTGCATGCCATGTGCAGCACCTTGCGCCCACACCTCACTGCCGCACCTCCCATCTGTCCCTTGCTCCCCTCTCTCCTCTCCACCCGTTGTGTGCAGGTGAGTCTGCCTGACCTGGGTGGCGCCATGCACCATGCCATGCATGCCATGTACCGCACCATGCACCCACACCTCTCGGCCGCTAACCTATGGCAGGTGCTGTGGCTCTTGCGACTTTACCGTGATCAGTTGGCTCCCATCCTGCATCTTTTCTTGCCCTCGTGTCTTGCTAACCTATGGCAGGTGCGGTGGCTCTTGCCATCATTTCTCGCCATCTCTCCCCCTTCAGTGCACATCGCCATCGCTTTCTGTGCCCTTCTCAACCTTCTTAACCTTCTCACCCGCCCTGCCTTTCCTTCCTCTGCCGTCCTCTACCCAGACTTTCCCGATGTCTTGCCTGTTCTACTTTTCACCCTGTGCCCCTCCCTCTCATTCCTCCTCTCTCTTGCCCCTTTCCCCTCATCCCTCCACTCTGTTGCCCCTCCCCGTGCAAAGGCTGCCCCTCGAGTGGTGCTATAGCCTCCTGGACCCTCCCCTCACTCATGCCATCCCCCTCACATCCTCTTCCCTTTTCCTTTCTCCTCTCCCTTTTTTCTCCCCCCTTCCACTCTCTCCCCTCTCTCTTTCTCTCCCCCTTCTCTTTCTCTCGCCCTTCTCTTTCTCTCGCTCCCTTCTGATCCGCCCTCCCCTTTTCGTTTCCCTGCTTCTCTCCACCCGCCCCCCCAGTTGGACGGCCGGCCCATGAGTGGGGACATAGGCGCCGGGGCAACACGTGCCACAATCCGACTGGCTGCCAGAGTGGCTGCTTTTGAGGATAGGCCGCCAGGTGATGGGGCATGTGACGGTGAAGGGGGAATATTCATTGCAGGTGGCATGTAGTGGCATGGGATTGTTGCTGTTAGGGAACCAGCCAAGTCTTCTCAATCATTCTCCATGTCGCTCCTCTCGTGCCTCTGTCTGCTCCCACACTTGACACTCTCTTCATTTCTTCCCTACCCCCACCAACATCCATCCTCTCTCATCCTCTATATAAGCAGGTTACCTACAGATCGCAGGCGAACCAACAGTCACACTTTCACCTCGTTACAAGATCATGGAATGCTGCCTTCTGCTTCTTCTGGTGAGTTCAGCACCCCACTCTGCTGCAGTGCTGCCCGTATTATTGTCGCCCCTGTTGATCCTCCACTGCAGTCAGCATGGCCTCACCCTATTCAGCTCTATTGGTGCCATTCCTGCTTGCTCATGCGTCACCACCCATGCTCCTCATGCGTCTCATAGCGCCGATGATGTTCTCTCCTGCACCTATCTCTCACCATTCATGCTTTCACAACACTGAAATGTAATGAATCAGAATGTCGTTGGGAGTGCTTTCTAACCCAGCTGTTCTTTGAAGCGCTCTCAGGCAACATCATTGATCCACGCTAACCGAGCACTTTTCTATCTCACAGATCACAGGCTTGCAGTTGCAGGTGTGGCCTTTGGCGGTCATGCACGCAAGGTAAGCATGACTCAAGGCCGTATGTATCAAACATGCAACCATGTTTTTTTTCCCCTGTGCCTCCCCCTCCCCCTTCTTTGGGTGTCTCTGCTTTTCCCTTTAGCACTCTTATTGTGGACCAAGCTGGTTTCTGCCCCCTTTTGCTTAATTCCTACACCAAGACACAGCTAACAATGCATGCAATTTATGCCTGCAGCCACGATGATTGCGTTACACGCCCTTTGTCAGATCCTGGCTCCAGTCCTTGGCCGTCTTGATGCGGCACATTCCATTGGCACAAACGAGGCTGCTACGCCAACACCACGCATGGCCACGTCACAGTCTCCGTCGCACGTTGAGAGCCAGCTGCCTCTTCTGCTCGAGGCATTGGAGCTTGCATGTGCCTTGGTTCATCCGTACAAATCACGTCTTCCAACGTAGTATACTTTTACTCATGAAAGAGACAATTTGAGCCTTTCCTCCAATTTCGCTTCAATATTTAGTTGGAGTTGCAAACTTGCAACCCTTCCAGTATTTCTGCTTGGTCCTCGGGATGATGTTTCCGTTGAAGTCATTTTGTCAGCTCCCGGATAGACGACCCATGGGTCTTATCATACGAACCCTAAGCATATGTAGAAATTGAAATAAATCGTCTGATGTTGTAGTAGACTAAGTATAAAACTATAAACCCGAACACTTGGCAAATCCTCAAGTGTTGGTCCAGGATCTTTGCTGGAATGGTAGACTAGTAAGACAGCGGAAGTCTTGTAAAATGTAAAGGTCAAGGTTGAATAACCTGAGTACGTGAACTTGTGAGTAATCAAAGTTAATAATGAAAAGACCTAACAGAGATTTATAGTTCTACGAAAAGTACCTATTCGCTAATGTACCTGTTCGTCACTATCGCGCTATGCGCCCTAGATGATAATGAAGAGGTGCGACTGTTCGCGTGACTGAAACGACTGTCCTATGACGAGCGCTATTTGCTGACGTCATCCTACGGACTTATCTTCTACAGTAGATTCGACACTAACTACACTTAATCGACTTACAGAAATGCTAAGTAAATTATATCACAACACTCCCCTTCATTTCTGGAAGTTCGATAGTGTCACTTCTTGAAGATTCCGCAGAGCTTGTTACAGTACTGAAACTTCTGTCGTGTCAGCTTCTTCGTGAGAAAATCGGCAGCCATTTCGTTGGTCGAACAGTAGACCAATCGCATCCTCCCCTTCTCGACTTCATCTTTGACGAAAAATAACGAAGCGAAATATGTTTCGTCCTGTTGACGAAACCAGGTTGATGTGCGATGCGAATTGCACTTTGATTGTCGCACTGTAGGGTAAACTGGGTAGTTGTCGTCAACTTCGCTTCTTCCAATAGTTCCTGTAAGTAAAGTCCTTCGCGTGTTGCTGTGCATACAGCAATAAACTCAGCTTCAGCAGAGGAGAGTGCAATCAGCTCCTGCTTCGTAGAATTCCAAGAGATAGGTCCGACAGGTTCCAGTCGATAGATGAACCCAGTGCGTGACCGTCGATTAGTAGAATCAGTAGCGTGATCGGCGTCGACAAAACCGTGTAGATAGTGTGTTTTACAACCGATGACGTTGTAGACTAAACCGACGTCAGGTGTCGAGATAAAATATTGAAGCGCGCGGAGAAGATCAAGCTGATGCTCCTCCTCAGGACGGCGTAGGAACTGTGCGAGCTGACTGGCTGCATAGGCTAGATCAGGACGATAAGTGACAGCGGCGAAAAGTAGACAGCCTAGCTGCTGTTGATAGATCTGTAAACCGGTTGAAGTTAACAGTGCGGTGTTCGGTTTGTGGTCAGTCGGTAGTGAGCGGTACGGTGTAGAGACTGCAGTAGGTGTGAGGTTGAAGCGGGCAGCAAGTGTTGCTGCATACTTCGAAGCGGTGAGATGAATAGTTGTCGGTGAACAGGTAATGTTCAGTCCGAGAATCTGTGAGACTGTTTCGGAGACGGTAAGCTGTAGATTTTCTTGTAATTTCAGTATGAAGGTCTGGGCAAGGGAATTGGCAGTACTGACGTATAGGATGTCATCGACGTAGGCGACGAGTAAAATGTAGTTGCTGCCGTCGGTCAGTAGATACATTCCCTGATCATGCGGTAACTGTCGAAATCCAGCAATGATTAGCTGCGAGTGAAGATACTGCTGCCAGAGCCGTGGTGCCTGTTTAATGCCGTATAGAGATTTTCGGAGACGGCAAACGCTCGGTGGGTTAGTAGTATAAGAATGCGGGTACTCTACCAGGATGAGTGCGTCGACAGGCGCGTAGAGAAACGCATTCGAGACGTCGATTTGGCGAAGATGTAGATTACGGCAGGCGGCGACACAAAGAAGAATCCGAACACTTGTATGTCGGCCGACAGGAGCAAAGGTTAGTTCATAGTCGATGCCGTAAGTCTGCTCGAATCCGCGGACGACCCATCGCGCTTTGAACTTTTCAAACGACCCATCTGCATTAGTCTTGATGCGGAAGACCCATTTTCCGATAAGTACCTTCTTCCCTTTGGCCTCTGAAGTCGGTACTAAATCCCATGTTCCGTGATTCTTGAGTGCTGCTAGCTCCTTGTCCATGGCTTCGCGCCATGTCTCTCGGTGAGGACTCGTAAGAGCTTGTCGGACGGTTTTCGGTTCAGGTATCTTACTGTCGTTGCACTGTACTGCTACTGCAAATCCCAGTATCTGCAATCCTGTTTCTGTAAAACGCGGACGTTCTTCGTTTGCACCTGCGAAATTTTCTTCTGCTCCTTCTTCCCCCCCAATTTCGTCAGGTGTAACACGAACTGCTTCGTCAGAGACGACGGGCATCGGCTGTTGCTGGCGGTCGCGTTCGTAACTGAGACGAACTTCGCGAACATCATCCTGGTCAGCATCTGCAAGAGGAATGAATTCAGGTATGCCGGTCGAGGTGACAGGTTCGGGAACGTCTGATGCGGCAGCTTCGGAAGCTTCATAAACATCCTCGTCATGTACATCAGCTTCGGCTTCGTCAGTTGCAAACGCACGCGAGCCTTTGAACAGCCTGGCAGGATTGGCAGCTGCTACCTGGTGGGCACGAAAAACGGGCAAGGTGAGTCTTTCATAGAAAAGACAATCACGTGATGGAACGATTTGATGGGAGCAAAGATCCAAAATCTTCCATGCGTGATACTGTTTTTCGATGCCGAGGTGTACCCCCCATTTTGCTTGTTCAGAAAATTTTCCGAGTGCTGCGGTTGGAGGACGAAACTGTACAACACACCCGAAAACTCGTAAAAGTTTTGTGCTTCCCACTGTTCGTGTCCACTGCAGGTGTGGAGAAGAAAACTCGGGCAGGGACGTTGAAGAAAGAAGATTGTGTAACAGCACGGCGTGGTCCATCGCATACGGCCAAAAATGCGGTGGAAGTGCTGCCTGCGTCAGCAGAGCACGCATCTTCTCCTGCAGAGTTCTGTTCAACCTTTCTGCTACCCCCATCTGTTGGTGTGCATGCGGCAGAGACTGCTTCCGTTTGATGCCGAGTGTCTGAAGGTAGTCTGTGAAAGTGTTGCTGGTGTACTCCCCTGCACCATCACTCTGAAATTCTTGCAGTTTCGCGCCAGACTCCCGTTCAGCGACAGCGAGCCACACGACGAAAACGGAGTGAGCGAGATGGCGCGCACGTAAGTTAGCTGTCTAGACATATCGTGTAGACGCTTCGATGAAGGTTATCACATACTTCTCGTCTTTAGGGCCTGCTTCAGACAAGTTGAGTATGTCGCTGTAGACTTTCTGCATCAGTTGATAACGGGTTGAGCCGGGAAAATGACTTGGAAACGGATCGTGCGTAAGGTTGGCAACTGGACAAGTGGTGCAAACCGTAGGACGAGACTGCGGCTTCATCTCCGTGCCATCAGGTAAAAGTAAACTATTTGTATCAAGAACTGCTACTCGGATTGAATAATTAAGAATCCCTTATGATGGATGTCTTAGCCGCTGATGCCATATATCTTCCGTGGCTTTGTGTCCTGATGATCGCAGGTAGAAATCGGAGTTAGTATAAAAGGAAGAAAGAATGAAAGGAGAAAGGGCTGGTGACTTGTCAATTTCTCCTTCGACAAAACGGTGAAGAGGTAACGTGACTTGTGATGTTGCTGCTGCAGGTGCGAGTATAACCCCTGATACTGCTTCTGTTGATGTCGTGGCAGGTGTTTCGGCGACAGCTATGGTTGGACTCGGCTGCTCAGCTACGGCTTCCTGTTTGGCTTTTTCAACAACGTCAGGTTCATCAGCGGCAAGACCACTTATTTCTCCCCAAAGTGGTGCTGGAGTTCCTTGGAAGGCTGCACGGGTATTATAAAACGTTCGCCACGCGGTGGCGCTTTCATTGGCGGTATTGAACTCCCAGGTATCCAACGTGGTAAGTACGGCGGCTGCTGTTCGAGAAGCTGTTGGTACTGAAGTTGCGCGAAAATCAATGTCCACATGTTGATAATCGGGTTCTTCTGGGTGATCCCAGGGACCACGTGCAAGGACACGTTCAGAATCGCCAGAAGTTCCCTGTGCTGCGAACTGAAGTACCGACACGCCATGTTGAGTGGCCGCACGACCAAGGTAGGTATTAGTTGTACTGTGCCAGAGCTCTTGATCCATCGTCTCACAATTTCCTTGTGTACGGATTTTGTGTGCTAGGAGTTGAGCCGTAGAAAGAAGGTTGAAGCCAAGTCCGGCGACGATAAGAACATTCGTAACATGAAGTGAGTATTTCGTGTCGATAGATTCGAGCATGACACTGCCAACTGATCGTGCCATTATCGTTTGTCCGTTTGCGACTGTGACAAGTATCGGACGACGAAGTGGACGCTGATTAGTGATAAAGCTTGTTTCGGCAGAACACATATGCCATCCGCAGCAGCTGTCGAGATACCAGGTATTTGGTCCTGAAATTATGCGAGCAAGGTTAGCGTAAACTTGAGGTAAAGCAATCCCTTCAGCACTTGTTGTTTCTTCAAGTCGTGTTTCGAAATCTGTTTCTGAAACATCAACTTTGGTGACGCAGCCAAAAACCCCTTTTCCTGATGTGGCAGATGCGAAGACCGGCGGACGATGTTGCGACGTAGATGGATTTGGTGGCGGTTTCGGTATCTGCTGCTGCTGAGACGTTAACTGCTGCTGTGGCAGTTGTGTCTTCGGTAATTGCTGCGATCGTTGATACGGCTGCGAAGTATTGCGACGATTTTGATGACGGCTGCGACAGTTTTGTTAAGTATGTCCTGGTTTCTTACATAAATAGAAGAACGGGTACTTTGGTGGATGTCGATGTTGTGTTTCTGGATTGGAGTAAAAACTTAAATGAACCCCCCTTTTCTGGTTGCGTTGTGACTGCAGGTCAAGATCTCGCTGCTCTGCTTGAAGATAAGAAGAAATTTAAGCTTCGGAGAGGTTGGGATTCATGCGCAAGAAGGCGCGCGTCTGTCGCCATTTGGGTCCAAGACCAGCAAGAAGGACAGTGAGATACATCTCACGAGGGAAGTATCCTCCGCTTTTCTCCAGTTGGTCACGTAATGTACGGACACGATTAACGTAGTCCATGACGTTTTCATTTGTCATCATCTACACACTTGTCAGCTGCGAAAGTATTTTACTCACTGTTATCGTATCTTTTGCCATGTATACCCCTTTCAGATGGTTCCATGCAGTTTCGGCTGGGGTGAAACTTGAGTGAAATGATTGAACGCCGAGCTGCTCCTTCGGCGACAAGTTCGGTACAAGAACTGTATACACCCCGAGAGAGGCGTGCAAGAAACTCTGCTGCTCCAATTGTGTTCCCACGACAGGATAGGTGAATTCTCCGGTGAAGGACGGCCAAAGCCCAGCGGACTGCGCCAGAAGCTGAAACTCAAAGCTCCAGGAGTAGAAGTCAACACCATTAAAATGTACGGTTGTCTTGATCTGAGTATTGTTAAGTAAATTTGGAGGCTGAAAAACAACGCCTGGCTGTTGCTGTTGTTGCTGTTGCTGTTGCTGTTGTTGTTGTTGTTGTTGTTGCTGTACTTGCTGTGGTTGCTGATACTGCTGTTGTTGCTGAGCAGGGGAATGACCGAAGATATAAAAAGGAGGCTGAAACTGCTGCGACTGCGGCTGCTGTACGAAAGGTGAGAAAGCGAAACTGGTGGTTGTACTGACGCTTGTTGCTGTGTTGTCGTCTGTGATTGTTGCTGTTACGTTGCACGTGCAGTCGATGGAGCACCTGGAGTATTCACAGAAGGCGGATTCTGCTGTTGCATACCGATATTCGCATAGGCTGGTGGAAAGTGCCCAGAGGCTGAGAGACCAGCGGCTGTAGTGGAGGCATGTGCTCCAGTAGTCCCATTAACTGATCCAGCAGATGGTGCTGGTGTTGAACCAGTCATAGTTGACGGTAGTCTTAATTCCAGATAGCTCTCATACCATGAAATAAATCGTCTGATGTTGTAGTAGACTAAGAATAAAACTTCAAACAACAACACTTGGCAAATCCTCAAGTGTTGGTCCAGGATCTTTGCTGGAATGGTAGACTAGTAAGACAGCGGAAGTCTTGTAAAATGTAAAGGTCAAGGTTGAATAACCTGAGTACGTGAACTTGTGAGTAATCAAAGTTAATAATGAAAAATACCTAACAGAGATTTATAGTTCTACGAAAAGTACCTATTCGCTGATGTACCTGTTCGTCACTATCGCGCTATGCGCCCTAGATGAAAATGAAGGGGCGCGACTCTTTGCGTGACAGAAACGACTGTCCTATGACGAGCGCTATTTGCTGACGTCATCCTATGGACTTATCTTCTACAGTATGATTCGACACTAACTACATATAATCGACTTACAGAAATGCTAAGTATCAATTATATCACAACATATATAATAGAGAGTACACAATCAGGGTCCTAACAAGTGAGTAGCTACAGGAACAAGACCAAGCTGGACACGGTGCCGCTGATGATCTTTAGGCGCAAGCGCCTTCGTAAAGATATCAACTATGTTGGCACCGGAGGCCAAGTGAACTACGCGGGCCTGGCGACGCTGCTGTAGCTCGCGCAGGAGGAAGTACCGCAGCTGGATATGCTTCGCTCTGCCCTCAAGCCGAGGCTCCTGACATAGGAGAATCATGGCCCTGTTGTCAGCGTACAGGACCGGGGCAGAGCTAGGGCGCTCACCTAAGTCTGTGAGCAAGAAGGTCAGCCAGCGGAGCTCCTGTGCCGCCATGGCACTAGCGTAGATCTCGGCCTCACAGCTGGATTGGGCAACAGACGAGGAGCGAATAGCTCTCCACGAGACGGCACATGGACCAAGGATAAAGTAGTAGCCCTGCGAGGACCTGAGGGTCTCAGCGTCGTCTTCCCAAGAAGCGTCTGTGTGCCTAGTAAGGACCACTGGCCTGCGAACTCCAAGCACTAACCCCATGCCCGATGTACTCGCTAGATATCGCAAAACCCTCTTAGCGGCCGACCAGTGCTATGGTCGGTGTCTGCCAGTGGCCACAAAGCGAGCCAGGATGCTGAGAGGGTATGCGAGATCTGGGCGAGTGCAAGTCATCAGGTACATGAGGCAACCCACCAGCTCTGCGTAGGGGCCGCTGGGCTCTACTGGTTCCTCAGGAACGGGAGCGGAGAGCCCATGGTCTACTGGTAGAGGTGTGGGCTGTGCGGAGGAGAAATGAAGACCGAACCTCTGAAGGACCTGACGCACCAAGTGTGACTGTGTCAGAGTGATGGTGCGTGCTGCTCTGTCCCTGGAGATCTGCAGGCCAAGATAGCGACGCAGCTCTCCAAGGTCAATGCAGGTGTGTCTCTTCAGCAGCTCTGCCTTCACGGAGGCCAGTGTGTCCCTGTCAGCAATAGCGAAGACCGGGTCATCTACGTAGACAAGGATGTAGAACGGAGTCTAACCGGAACGCACAAAAAGTGAGGGGTCAGCAGAGGACGGAAAGAACTGCAGGTCTGCTAGCGTGGCACGCAGCATGTCGTGCCACTCACGGGGAGCCTAGCGGAGACCATAGACCGGGCGTCTGAGAAGCCACTGGGTCCCAGGGGCGAAGGTACCAGTGAAACCCTGTGGTCGGCGCAGGTAGACTTGCTCGTGTAGGCTGCCCTGAAGAAAGGCAGTAGAGAAGTTGAGGGAGTGAAGCTCGTAGTCGCGCTGTGCTGCTATGTATAGCAGTGCCCGAAGAGTAGTCCACCCCCTCACGCTAGCTGAAGCCTCTAGCCACGTAGCGCACCTTGAAGACAGGCGGCTCTCCAAGGGGGCGCTCCACCTTGAAGAGCCACCGACCATTGACTATGTTCACCCCAGGAGGGGGAACTGCATCGACGTAAGTGCCGGTGGACCTCCAAGATGCCATCTCCTGCTCCATGGCAGCTATCCACTGAGAGGCCCAGGGTCCCGAGGTGGGCTCAGCGTAGGTGCGAGGGGTCGGGATGTCGAAGGCGTCTGGGTCACCCTGTGGGACTAGGAGCATGGAGCACAGATGGGGAGCGGCCTCGAAAAGGAAGGCAAGCTCGTACTGCCTGTCCTCTAGAAAGTCACTGCCAAAGGCAGGTGCACCCCCGACGGACGGAGGACGGGCAGGGTCAGAGACCAGAGCGGTAGCGAAGTAAAGGCGGTGGGTAGAGGAGAAGTCAGCGACAGCAGCAACAAGCGCGTCAGGGCGCGAGACAGGAGCAGACGGGTCTGTAACAAGAGAGGCAAGCATGCGAGGGACAACGGGACGAGCGGCACGGAGGTAGTCAGACAGGGGGGAAGGTGCAACAACAAGCGACGAGGGAGGAGGCGAGGGGAGGAGGGGAGGACGAGACGAGAGGGAACGGAGCAACATAGGGTGGGAGCGCAGGACAGGAGAGACGGGACGAGCACGTGAGGGACGAGGAGACCAAACGTGGGATGGAGGTGTAGGGTCAGGAGACAGCGAAGGGGACACAAAAGAGGAAAGAGGAGGAAGACGGGCCGGAGAAGAGTCCGGGGGCGGGAACACAGGGCCGTAGATAGGAAGGTGAGAAGGTGGTGGGGGAGATACCGGCTAGCGGTCAGGGGAGGGAAGGCCGAGCAGGCAAAGAGCGGAGACCGGCGGCGACGGCTGCGGCGGCTGCTGCGGCGGCTGGGTCTCGACCCGCAAACCGGCAGGGGCACGACGACCACTGGGAGAACACTCAACGGCAGCACCCCCAGAACCAACACCCCAAGAGCGAGAACCCCCTCCAGCGCCAGCGGCACCCCGAGGCCCGCCGGGACAGACCACGCCAGGAGCCGCGTACGAACACTCTCCTCAACGCCAGCATCCCAAGAGGCCAAGAGCGGCAGCGGCGGCGGCGGCGGCTACGACAACGGGGGCGGCGGTGGTGACTGCGAGAGTGGAGGCGGAGACACCGGGGAAGGGAGACGCGAAAAGGACGGGCCAGGGGGACCACTAGAGTCAGCAGACTCATCAACGGGGACAACCGACGGGAGGGGAGTGACATGCGAGACACCAGACGGGGCAGGACGAGGCGGGAGGGGAGCAGGGGCTACCGGGGGAGAGGGAGCGAGGAACAGGGGGGGGGGGACCGGAAGACCTCGATGAGGGAAGTGACGGTAGAAGGAGACAGAATCGTCAAAGATGACGTCACGAGAGTGAAGGAAGCGGTGAGACTACGGGTGGTAGAAGAGCCAGCCAGACGAGTCTAGGGGGAAACCAAGGAAGACATAGGGGACAGTGCGGGCGGCGTGCCAAAGGCATGAACGTGAGCAAGGCAACCCTAGACGTGGAATGCAGACGCGTCACCGGGGGACCCGGTCCAAAGGAGGGTCGGCGAAACCTGCGGCCACTGGGAGCGTGGCCACAAGTTAAACTGGTGAGCAGCGTAGCGAACAACGAATGGCCACAAAAAGTGGGGGACATCAGCATGAATCATGGAGGTACGAGCAACCTCCATGACCAAGCCAATGCGGCACTCAGCAACCCCATTCTGCTGTGGCGAGTCCGGCAAGGTGTGCGACTGGGTGATGCCCTCCGCACGACAGAACTGGCCAAGCCGACCAGAGGCAAACTCGCCGCCACGGTCAAAGTGGAGACACAACACGGGGAGACCGCGGTGAAGACGCGCAGCCACAACCCACGGGAGAAGAACGTCGGGCACGTCGGCCTTCCGCTCCAGGGGAAACACCGTGGTGTATCGCGTGTAGTCGTCGACGAGCACAAGAAAGTAGCGCTCATCACGCGGTCCGGGGATGGGGGCAGGGCCCCAAACGTCCAGGTGCAGGGTCTGAAGGGGAGCAGTAGCGGGGCGAAGCAAGGAGGAGTGAGGGGCACGGCGGAGCCAGCCCTCGACGCAGGGCGTGCACGGTGGCGCAGTCGAGGGGGGGAAGGGCGAGGAGCGACTCGAGGAGGCCTAAGACAAGACCGTGCTGAGACATGTGACGCAGACGCGGGAGAGCAAGGTGACCTAAGCGGTGGTGCCACAAAAGGGACGGGTGAGTAAGGGACCGACACGAGCAAGCTGCAGCGACCTGGGAGGACGCACCAACCGAGGGGGAAGCGGTGTCGAGGGTAAATAGACCGGACACCGGGTCCCCGGAGAACATCGCAAGGGGGGAACCTAAGATAGCCTCGGTACAGACAGTGAACCGCTCGTGCCCAAGGAACGTAGTGGTGACGCCGAGGTCCTGAAGACGGCCGACACCAACCAGGTTCCTCGAGAACGAGGGAACGTGGAGGCTTCTAAGAGAGCCCGAGGGAACGGCTGAACAGGGAAGGGAAGTGGAACTGCGAGCGACGACAGGACCCGCAGAGGGATCAGCGAGAGCGACAACAGCAGGCGCGGCGAGCGGCGTGAGCGTGGAGCGGTCGCGGAAGAAACAGGCAGAAGCACCGGAGTCGAGAGTGAAGGACAGCGAGGCAGTAGGAGAGGCCAGGAACGGGGCCGGTTCAGGAACGAGGCTAGGCAAACTAGGCAGTCCTACACCAGACGCAACAGGGGAGGCTAAGCTACACAAGGGTGCTACACCAAAGCTAGAGTACACAGGGTAGTAAGATCTTGCAACACTAGAAGCGTCAACATACAAGGCATGCA